AGAGCTGAGATTGTGATCTTCTCCTCGCCAAAGAGTTTATTCCAGAAAGCTCTTCCTAGCTTCTCTGGAGAGAACAGATGGAGGGAGATCAACAGGGAGGATGGGAATCATTCATTTAAGTTTGTTAGAACAATGGACCCCATGGAGGTGAACACATACCGGGAGGTAGAACACATAAAAGTGAGTGAGTTCAAAAGATGTGGCAGGGCTAAAGTCTCTGGGACTTGGAAGTGCTGAGTGTAGGTGGGCGAGAGAAAGAGGAGCTCAAGAAAGTGGCCAAACTCTGGCTTGAGTGACTAAATTTTGGAAAAGAGGACAAGAGAAACCAGGCCTAGAGAAACAATTAAGCACTGGGCAAGGAGATAAACACGCCTATGGACTATCCATGGGTATCAGTGTCTCGGCTTGGGTGGGGAGAAGCAGTCAGAGTCCTCTGATAACTGCTGCTGTACCATGAGACACCAAGCACTTAGTGGCAAAGGAGCACGTTTTCAGGAAAGAGACTGTAGAAAATGTTAGATGCTGGTCTTCACCAAAAAAAAAAAAAAAAAAAAAATCTTTGAGGATTTTGTTTAGTTTCTTCTTTGCCAAAGTAAACATGATGTTTTAGTCTGTCTCTAGCCCATTTTTCAAAGGATATAGTAAAGGGATCTATTTTAACTATTTATTTAGGTTTAAACCACAGACAACTCAAAAGAAAAGACAATAAATTACAAGGAAGAAATGAGATCCAGTTACACAGAAAAAGAACAAGAAGGACTCTATCCATGTGTAGTCTGTCTAGGACAGAATCAGTTAAAAATGATGGAATGAATTTTTGCCCCAAACCACAAACCCAGAAACATTATCTGGTAATACCATTGTTTTCCTGACTGTGGAAACATTGGGCATATGTGTAATTGTGGCACCAGGGAAAATCAGAGTGATTCTAAATATTTCTTCCAATCTAGTGCCAAATGTTTAATGAAAATATGTGATAGTGTTTATTATAACTTCATCCAATTTGTTACAATATGAAAGACAGCATTCTATCCTTTAACAAATATTCAATGAACATTGTTTGAAGCATCATTTTAGGTAGTGGGCTTCAAGATGAGCTAAATATGCATTCATTCTTAGAGGGGATTTGTGGTGAACTCATAAACGTGCCAGTATATCAGGTGGAGTTCAGTGCTGTGTGAAGGGAGAGAGCTGACTGAGGAGGGAGAGAATGAAGACAGCAGTCACACTGTGTCATAAACAATGGTCAATGTATCTAAAATATTGACATATGGCTTAAAAGTAATACGTGAATTCACATTCATGTAAAGTTTGAAAAACTAGGCAAATTCTACCTTCTGTTGTTACACATTAGTTTCAGAGATGCATTTCAAACTTTTGAGGTGACTTTATATTTACTTGCCCAAATTATGTTAAATAAGTATCTTTAGACATTTAGATATAAAATATAAACTCATATATACACATATGTATATATGTACTTATACACAATAGTATAATATGCATGCAATATAATAATTGTATATCTGAATGTATACAAAATAATATATATATTATTATGTACTTTAGATACATGGATAGATTGATAGGTAAAATGTACAGAATCTAGGCTACACAAAACCTACTACTCATTAACATTGGTGATCTCTTGTGGATCTAATTCACTATTTTCAACACTTTTATATTATTTGATTTTTTTAATAAAATAAACATATTAAGTTTTGGACAACCTTTAAACAATGGTAATACAGATAATATTTTTGGGTTTGTGGATTGGGGCAAGAATTCATTCCGTTATTTTTAACTGATTCAGTCTTAGACAAACATACAAATATAAAAAAGTTATTTTTAAAATTTTTACATCCTTACATGCTGCTCACATCTCTAAAATATCTTATCCAAACTGAGACTATAACGATTAACAAGAATTATTTTAAAAGCCCTCCTCCACCAAGACAATTTGATGAATTAGGCCCATTTCCAGTTCTCTAAGATATTGTTAGAAGCAAAAATTGTGGAAACACTATGATTTTGCATTCAATTTTTGACTAGCCATTATTGTTCTTCCGATTGCTTAAACAGTTCAACCACACATATTTAATCACTGTATAGCAAACTTAATTCTAGGGAGCGAGAAGTAATCAGGATAATGGGGAGGGGGGAAAGTGGCTTGTCCTAAAGTAAGCACAACATATTATTAGATGTCAAATGAAATTTTAATGTATTTTTGTAGAAAACACAACTAAACTCTGATGTTATTTCCACTAATTCACACTATCTCTGTCTCTTTTTAAAGTGTATGGTATGGGTCTAAGTGTAAATTATACAATATATATTATCTCAAGGAATTTGATCATTTTTTAGCTAGCTCTGAGTCACACATGCAAGCAAACATGCTGATATTTTGGAAGCATTTAACCCATTCATAAAAAAACTCTGATTAGCAATGTGTGAGATGTGACTTGCAAAGCATCTGATCTATTTCCTAGCATGCACTGAGGACTACTTGGCATGGATGAAATGAGACTTCGTCTTCATGGATAGCTTTTCTTCATAATTTTTATTAAATAATATTAGGAATGTCTGGAAAAATAACCATACTCATTCTTTCTGTCACATTTTCTCATTTCACTAAAAGTGAGGTAGAAAGGCCTCATTATTTGCATAAATATTGATGTACCTGGAACTGAATGCTTTATTCTAAACTCTAGCAACATTTACTTCCTGAGAGTTGAAAGAGAATATTTTATGTCAATTAGTATATATTGAAAGTGTATAAAACAATGATGTGCTTATTACTCGGCTGTCAATGATATGAAGTTGACCGCAAAATTACTTTCTAGAGATCAGAATTGACTCCCTTCTGGTTTTTGTTTACTTATTTTTCAAAACAAAAAGAATTTTCTCCCAACTGCTGGATTATAAATTCACCCTACGACATGAAAATCAGATTCCATTTCTTCTCTCCTTTATCTCTCATCACAGAAGATAAAGATATTGCCATTGGAATTCAGCTATGACAGTCTAGATGATTAAGAGAAAGTCTAATTGGCTTTGCAGTGTTAGCAGAAGCCAAATTTAATGGTTGATTCCCCCTCCCCCTATTAAAATAAACCTCTGTGATTCATAGTCTCAGAGAACAGAAGACTGTTGAGTAAGAAAATCTTTTTATAGGTAACAAAGAACTGATTATAAGGAATTGAAAGTTCAAATTACGTAGTTTCTGAAAGTTATTCTATAATGCGGCATTGCCCAAACTGTCCTTTTAAAAGCATCAATATTAAAGATAGTTGGATAAATATTTTTAAAGCACGTGAAAAGCCCTTGGTGATTTGAAAGGAAAGCATCCATTTAGTTTTAAGTAATGTTTGGAAGAACTATATTCACAGTGCACTTTATGCAGTTAAGTAAGAGCAGAAGCTCAGAGTGTCGGAGAGTGCTCCGAACTGTGGCTCCAGCCATGGTGGCCTGCACTCTCCTCTGTGGCCTTAGGGAGCTAACTGGTCGAAATCCCTACTTAGCAGGAAAATCAAACTGTTCCTGCAGTGATGGAAATAGCTATGTGCAAGACAACCAGGACATAAAAATGAGAAGACTTCTCCGACGAGAGCTCTCAACTTCTTACTGTTTTCTCTAGAGTCTCCCCTGTGGCGTGTTTTAGCCAGACCTTGTTTATTATGACCTGGAGTCTGGCTTTGTCCAGCTTGAAATTCTATCATAATCAGAGCCAGTTTGACTACATTTTTTTATGATTTCAAAATTAAAAGATGGTGGAAATAGAAATTTGAAAATATTTTGGTGATACACGCCCAATAACTGTAACTAAGTTTTTGTTTGTATAAATATTAGTCCTGCGTTTTAACAGTTCTTCTGGGAACCAGTCCATGAATTAGGAGTCCGTAGGCCAGTAGTACATAATAACTAGTATCGTCTGTAAAAATTGTGAAGTTAAGTAGTGGTTATGAAATAATGCAAACACCTAATGTCTAACAACAGTGATAAAACTGTCCATGCTTCTGAAGAGTATATATACTTTCATTACTTTAATGTAAAGCCCTAAATTCCAATTAGAATTTCTGGAGTTCTATTATGATTAAGAAATTAGCTTTTTTTTTTTTTTTTGTACCGGGGATTGAACTTAGAGCACTGGACCACTGAGCCACACCCACAATTCTATTTTGTATTTTATTTAGAGACAGGGTCTCACTGAGTTGCTAAGTGCTTCACCATTGCTGAGGCTGCCTTTGAACTCGCAATCCTCCTGTCTCAGCCTCCCAAGCTGCTGGGATTACAGGCTTATGCCACCACACCCAGCCAGAAATTTGCTTTTCTAACTGAAAGTGAGGATGCCCGTGTTCACTGGGGTGGAACCACGCCCCAAACTCTTGATTCCAAATGCAAGGATCTAATAAGGATTTCCAGAAAGGATGCCCAACAGCAAACGTTAAGAAGCTTTCTAAAATTCAATTCGTTAAAAACTCTGGATACTACAAATTCCCTACAAAGGTGGTGAAACACACAAAAACCAGGAGAAAACCTGAGTTGACCATCCAACCCTATCCATTCTCATGTCCGAAAAGTGGAACAAAGTCTAGTAGAACATATGTTTATAAATCATAAAAAATCCTTGTCCCTGAGGAATGAACCATAAAATCTCCTCATCTCTTAGAGATGAAAACAAAACAAGAAAAAAAAAAAAAAGCACTTTGTTGGACAAAACTGTACATCCCCAAGTTAACTTTTAAAGTTTATGACCCATTATGAGTTTTCATGATCAATATCATAACTGAAGTGGCTTTTCTGATCATTCTGCACGCACTCTCCCGATGGAATCCACGTTGGAACACACAGTAGATGACAGGAATGACAACAGGCAGTGCCCAGGACCCCAGCCCCTCAGCAAAGACGCCCCAGCCCACCCCCACCCCCACTGCACTGATTCTTTGCAAGAGCAGGACGCGCCCACAGCCGCACTAACGTGCTCTTTTTCCTTCTCCTAGGGGCTGATGTCATCAACTTCGACGGCCACGTCGTGTTGCCATACAGATTCAGAAACAAGAAGATGAAGACGCTGAAGGACGTCATCGCCTTGAAGTTTAAAACCTCTGAAAGTGAAGGGGTCATCCTGCACGGAGAAGGACAGCAAGGGGACTACATCACGTTGGAACTGAAAAAAGCCAAGCTGGTCCTCAGTTTGAACCTAGGTACCATTATTTCTGTGCATTAAAACTCCCACGAGCAGCGGTTGCTTACTTGACCCTTTAAAATGTAAATTGTAAGAGTCCCCACTATGTAGTTGATTCATTCTTAATCCAGAGTGGTTGGTGTATATGGATAGATGTATTGCATTAAAAAATATTTATTACGCATTTCTACTATACAAAGGATACCAGCCAACTGCATGCATTGGAATGGAGACACAAGGTCCTTAAGCTTATGAAGTTTATGACCCAGTACAGGAATTAAATAATACATTACTTACTCTTGCTTTTATTATAAAACAAACAAAAATAAATGTATTCATTGCTGTACATACAGTATGGATAGATAGTTGCTTTTCTAACTCAGTGTGGGAGAAGATACTAGTATTCCATGGAGTCAAAAACATGGGCCCCATATCAAATAAGCATTATAAAATCAGTTAAAGAGGTGAATATGATCAGGGCGAAGACCTACATGCCCTTCTGAAGCAACAGGGCCTTCAGTGGAATGTGAAATAAGGAAATTTATCTCTTAGGAGAAAATGTAATACTCAGACTCAGAGCTGAGCGATGGAAGCAAAGAACTAATCATAAAGACCTCAAGGGGAAAAGGACTTCATAAGAAGGGATCCTTGTAGGCAAAGAGCTTCATGACCAAGGAACAGGAAGGAGGCCAGTGTAGACGAATGTCATGAGTTATTGAGATAGGAGATGAAGGGAGGGGAACTGTTCAAGTCCTTTGGGATGCTTCAGGGCATCGTGGAGGCTCTAGATATTATTATTGTTTTGAGGGGTGGAGGTACTGGGATTGAACTCAGGACACTCAACCACTGAGCCACATTCCCAGTCCTAATTTGTGTTTTATCTAGAGACAGAGTCTCTCTGAGTTGCTTACTGCCTTGCTTTTGCTGAGCCTGGCTTTGAACTTGAAATCCTCCTGCTTTAGCCTCCTGAGCTGCTGGGATTTCAGATGTGTGCCACTGTACCTGTCTGGATATTATTTTTAAAATCGATATCTATTGGGAGTCCTCAAACTCTATGTCATTATAATCATAATTTCAAAAGTGCACTGGGACTTCTGTGAAATATTTGCTTATGCTGGCATGAGAGTCAAAGTAAAACTTCTGCATAGTTCAGGGGAAAGACAGCATCAACTTGCATGAGTTAGTTGTCAGTGGAGATGCAGGGAAAGGTGTATTAGGAGAACTAGTATAGTGATCAATTCAGGGGTCATTGTGATGAGATGGGTATTACATAAGAAGAAAAGAGCAGAGAGTAAGAGCAATTCCTGAAATTTGGACTAGAGCACCAAATAGATGTCAGTGTCACTTTTCAAAACAGGAAAAACTATTTAGGAGGAACTCTAAAGTCCTTTTGAACCTGGTGCATTTGAGTAGCCTCTCACATATACAGGGGTTTCTATTATAGAACTGCATACATGGCACTGAGAGGGCAGGTCTATAATCCAGACAAAGAAGAAGTAGACACTGAGGGCAGGAAATAAAGAATGTGTTGTTATCATAGAGACCAAGAAAGGAAAGGAAGGGACCAATGATGGCGAATCCTCACGTTAAGATCAAGACTGAGAAATGAAAGTTAGTTTTGACAGCATGGAGATTATAGTCAATGTACTCTCAGAGGAATAGAAAGGATGGTTTTATTGACTGATCTTGTAGGTAAAAAAACATGAAATAAGTAAAAATAAATATTTTGAATATAGTAAAACTGTTCAAACTGGATTCTAGTTAAACTACAGAAATAATTTGTTTGGAGGGAGAGGTAACTCAAGTGAGTTACTGTTTGTTTTGAGTTTCTATTGCTTTTAAATGGATTATACTAGTGCATGTTTGTGTGTTGGTAATGTAGCTAGGTTTTACTTAAAGCTAAAGAAGAATTCCACCATGTTGGTCCTGGCATCGAAATGACAACTCATAAAAAGCAATGGTATCTTTTTTGCTTGGCTAAAATCTGCAGGTTGTATGAAAGGGTGGTTTCAAGGTACCATGCATTCCCCTGAAGTTTTCTCTTGTAATGCTATAAAAATTCTAGAAAGATTTTATACCTTAAAATACATAAATAACTAAAGTTTACTTGTTGAAAGAATCACAGTGGAAAGCTACAACACTGAAGATTAGTATACCCAAAGAGACGCTGCCTATTTGACTTTCTTACCAATTATCAACTAAGTGTTTCAACATTCCTGAATATGGAATATAACTTATATTACTTTGAAAATCAGAATTATACTAAAAGCTAGAAAAAGAATTCACCATGTTGGAATGCAACTTTAGTTTTTAATGTAGGTAATGATACATTATCTTAAACATTTATTATTTATTATAGAATTTTTCACATTCAAAATCTGATCTTATGAAAATAATAGTTTCTATAAGAAAAGGAAGATAGGAAAAATTCACAAAAGAACTTTATTACTTAATTATAAAATGTTACTTTACATTAGTAATCAAAATGTCAAGTGCATGTGAAATTTCGGAAAATGCAGGTATTAAATATAGAAATTTAATGTCATTCATCAAATAATAAATCATTAAACAAAAAAATCATCATTCCTAAATAATACCAAGATGTTAGAAGAAAGGTAGGCACTGGATATTAAAGTCAACTCATTAAAAAAAATGTAAACCACCTATAAACACCAAATTCTCAACCACACTAGCTATAAAAAAAATGCACCATAAAATAACAAGTTACTAATTTTTGCCAAGTCTTGAAATGATGAAATAAGTGCTGGTGAATATGTAAGAAAATATACTTTTTATCATTCTTTAATTAAGATGATGTTCTTGGGAAAATGACTAAGTAGTGTATCTGCAGACATTTAAAATAGCTTGTGTATGTTTTCCAATAATCCTAAGGGAAAATTGAGACATGATTACAGAGAATTTAAGTCCAAAGATGAACTTTTAAAATATTAATTACAATGTAAAAAATTGAAAATCGTTACATGAGTAGAAGAAATATGTTGGTAACATCTGACAAGTCTATGCTAATTTTTAATTATATGGGGAAATGCTACATAATGATCCATAGCACATAAATAACATGGGCATCAATACTGTTGCCTTAAATGTGCATATATAAACCTAAATATTTATATATATGAATTACGTCTACATAAACACATGCATACAAACATACATATATACATATATGTATGTAATGAAAAGGATGTATTCATATAAAAATCTGGAAGGAAACACACCAAACCATTCTTAGTGGTAGAATATATAATCTTTTCTTAGTTTATTTGTTGATTTTTCTTAGTATTCTCTGCTTGCGGTAATGAACATGGATTCATTTTCTGTGCTACCTGAGTGAAACAGCCTGAGATCATCTTTAAAACAGGACTCTGTAGAAGGAAGGAGGGAGGGATTGAGGGAAGCGTGAACGTGTGCACACCAGGCAGCAGAGGATTATATCTAATCACCCAGGCAAACACCTGGAGTGGCCTTTCGGAGCCCACTGTGGTGTGCGGAGGTGCGACCTCACCTTTCCAAAACCAGGAAATGGTTATACCACCCCCCGCCCCCAACACACACAAAGTCCATTACTTTTTCACCTGGAAGCAGTTTACTTAGAGTTTTTGTGACTGAACAGACTTTATGACAGTCTTAGAAATATCGCCACTCAAACATCTCATGTCCCCCTTTAATGTCGTTGGGTCAACATCAGGCGGGGCTTCCTGCGGCTCAGCTTCCAGTGTGTTCAAAGCAGGAAATCTCTAGGGAGCCTGGTCACTCAGATGTGTGCCTCTCCTCCTCCTCTCCTTCTTGCCTGTCCCCACTGCCTGTCTCTCTCTCTCTCTTTCTCTCTTACACACACACACACACACACACACACACACACACACACACTCTCTCACCATCATGCCCGCACATTTGATTTCCTCTTCATGAATGAAGAAATGATGAGGGAGGAAAGAGACTTCAAGTCCTGGCCCAGGCACCAAGCTCATGTTAGAGGACACATCAGACCCCAGACCCTGTGGCTCCAGAAACCCCTGTGACACTTACTTCCTGAGGAATCTACCAAAAATTAGCAGAAATTATGGCACTGTAAAAAAAAAATATACTAATTTTTAAGGGAAAAGAAAGAATTCCATCTTCATAACTTTCATGTACTTTATGTATTCATGTATTTGGTACTGGGGAGTAAACTCAGAGATGCTAATCTATACCCCTGGCCCTTTGTAAATTTTTATTTAGAGACAGGGTATTTTCAAGTACAGGCTGGACCTCCAACTTGAGCATCTCCTGTTTCAGCCTCCCAACTCACCGGGATCTTTCCTGTACTTTGTAAGAGTCTTTTTAGCCCAGTTACCTACTAGTTCTCCTGGTCTGCCTCTAATGGAGGCAGCTCTGAGGATCATCCGCCTGGCTGGGTGTTGGAAAGGAAAGACTCACTTCGACCCTACAGCCACCTATTGTTTCTTTTTCTCCTGGTGACTCAGGAAGCAACCAGCTGGGCCCCATCTATGGCCACACATCTGTGATGACGGGAACCCTGTTGGATGATCACCACTGGCACTCTGTGGTCATCGAGCGCCAGGGACGGAGCATCAACCTCACGCTGGACAGGAGTGTGCAGCACTTCCGCACCAACGGGGAGTTCGACTATCTGGACTTGGACTACGAGGTATGCAAGTGACGTGAGTGAACATTGGCGACTGCGACTGAGCCTCAGTCACCACTGCACTGTTGCACTAGTGACACTCACATGCCTATACGTGGTTTTCATTTTCTTCTCCAAAAAAACAAAAAGGAAATTTCATGTTTAAAACATAGATTATACATATATTTCATTTTGTGTAATTCTAAATGTCCAATCCTGAGAATTTGAAATATTTCAAAAATCTTAATACCAAAGTAATAATTTTTAAAGAGAAGGGCCATGCCATTAGGGCCATATGGTAAATTCAGATTACACTTGTAATCTTTCTAATGGTGTATTAGTCTGCTTTGCATTACTATAACAAAGTACCTGAGGCATCTATGTTCTTAGAAAAGGTTTATTTAGTTCATAGTTTTGGAATTTTTAAGTCCAAGATCAAGTGGGCCATGTTGGTTTGGCCTCTGGTGATGGTGGCAAATAGTAGCACATCATGGAAGGAGAATATATAGGAACAGTCAAATCTTGAACCAAAGCAGAGAAAGAAAGAACTGGAGTCCTACAATCCTCATCCTACAATCCTCTCTGAGGGCACACCTCCAAGAACTAAGTAGCTCCCGCAGGCCCCGCCTCTTAAAGGTCCACACTACTTTCTGATACTGCCACTGTGAGGACCAAGCTTCCTTCTACCAGGTCCACTCAACAATCAAATGAGCGTAATTGGTAATTAGTTACGCATCGACTCCTCTTGAGAATGTGCTGTGCATTCTATATAAAGCACTATCTAATATATTTTGTAAAATACTGGATAAGAAATTCTCATTTCTGTGTAATATTTATAAATTTATAAGGATAGAAAGGTCTTTTGGTAAGTTCTATTTTCTCAGATATAGTTACCATAAAATAAATGAAATAAAATATAGAATATTTTAAAGACCTTGTCTACAAACAAAAAGACATATTTCACCTTCTAATAACTAAAGATTAAAAAGCACTTAGTGGTCTGGGGTTATAGCTCAGTGGTAGAGCACTTCCCTTGTACGCATGAAGCACTGGATTGGATCCTCAGCATCACATAAAAATAAATTCAATAAATAAAGTAAAGATATTGAGTATTAAACATTAATCAGTATCTATATGATATACATATATATCCTCATAATATTTTAGTAGGCATAGCAGGTTTTTTAATAAATTATTTGGAGAGCAATTTCAACCTTAGAATATTCACCAAAACTGTTAACAATACATAGGGATAAAAATTCTTTAAGAAGATACTCATCATACCTTTATATGTAATAGGAAAAACTGATTAACACTTAATATCAAAAAGCAACATAGTAGAAAAATTAAAAGAATGAAATACTCTTCATCCCAGTGGTTTCCAATCATTCCTAATTCCTGGAGCCGTTTAGTGTCTTAGTAAGTTTTCCATAGAAGTCCTAGGTTATCAGGCACCCATCTGAAAAACTCTAAAATATATTTTTTTTATTTCAATCTTAGATAACAGTAATCACTAATTAGTGGGATGAGTGAATTCACCTTGGGACATCTCAGACTTTGGGGTGAAATTTGACATTTCCATCCTCTTTTTCTAGTTCATTTTTTTCTTTATATAATATCTTTTTATGAGAGGAATGACCATAAACCCAACTCCACAAAGACAGGAGGTCCCCATAAGGAGGTCACCATGGTCAGATCCTGGAGAGGCAGCCTCTGAACTGGTGCTTGTCACCAGGTCCCAGAGAGTTCCACTGTTCTTGTTCCTGTAAAATTGTAAAGTATGCCGATGTACCCTGTGAATGTGCTGGATCGGCTTTGAGTTCTTGGCCCTAGCTTTGGGATCACAGATATATACATATCTGTGCGCATTATATACATCTACATATAAATTTCTAAGAATGTGGAATATGCTCAATATACAAAAATGTGAAAAAGTTAGAATTTATGACTGATTTTTATTTATATGTTCAGTTTCTAAATTTTGTGTCATATAAATATATTTAAATATTAATATATTCAGTATATTAATAGATTTGATAAAATATATATTCATTCCTAAATAGAGATTTAGACTAGAATATACTACATAAACCCTAATGGATACTATGTTAACATTAAATAAACTTAAGGTCATTGGTAAATAATTATCTTATTGTCCCCCCCAAAATGTCTTCAAAGCAAGATGATGATTAGTGGAAGGAAAAGAATGTGAAAATCCCAGAAATTTTGATATTCTTTAAATTGCTTTAAGGTTTGGCTCCTTGTAGCTTGTCTCCCAAGGTGTGAGAGAACTTGGAGATGAATTATTCATCCTCCATTAATAAACTCTGAAGAACTTCAGAGGAGGTGGGAAATCCTAGAACATTTTCAATGGGCAAACATAACTCCAATTTTCAAAAAAAAACTGAATTAAAAATTGGGGGTCCTAGACGTTATTGAGTTTGTGCTGAACTCCATGAATATTTATACACACACAGCACCTTCTCCACAGGGTCAACAGTTTCCTGGGTGCTTTGAATTCTGTCGATGCACAGTACCACACGTTTGGAAACCTCAGCCATCGATAACGATCTCTGGGATGTATTTATTAGGAAGACAAAGTAGGGAGAAATTTACATTTACTGAGAAAAAGTTAGGATAGACCAACATTTGTCTCTTCGTAAAGCTAGTGCCTGGTAACTTTCCTCTTAGACACTGCTGTTATTGGCATTCCCTGTAGTAAAAGTAGTTGAACTTACCTTTTTATTTATATACATTTATCTTAATATGAAGAGATTCATTTTGCTTATTTGTTTAAGAGAGTCTAGGGACTATGCTGAAGTCAGTCTCCCTCTATTGTCACACACATCTCCTGGAAGCATCCACATAGAAACCAGTCTCATGTCCACATAGGCTGCATGAAAATTAGCTGCAAACCTAAACTAGTATGAATCCTATAACGCTTCTCCTGAAGTATTTGAAGTCTAGCCTAAAGGATCAGAAACCTGATCTTCACAAAACCTGGAAATGTCCTGCTTCCCTGAAATTCCATATTTTCAGTTCTTCCAGAAGAAGGCGAAGGACCTTTTTGGCCAAAGGTCTGAGGCCAAGGGCATTGAGGCTTAAAGATGAGGGTGCACTGGTAAACACGTCACAACAGGCTCCCCCTAGGGAGTGCAGCAGTCCAGCTGCAGCAAAATAACCAGGGTGGGGGGGATGACGAGCAACTTGTGTACATTGATACAGCAGAAGTGGGAGCCGTTTATTGTAGGACAGGAGGGGTATGTATACATTGCACACAGCTTATCTTAATTAACATAAACTAGATACAGCAGTCAACCAATAAGGAATCTCCACACTTAATGGCTTGCTGGCACCACCTCACAAACCATTCCCCTGGCAAAATGCCAGGTGCCATCCTGACTTGTTTACAGATTCTAACAAGGGAGGAAGGAGAAAAGTGCACTGGTTTGGGGTGTTTTTGTTTGTTTTTTGGAATTTCCTGATTTTTGTAGGAGATATACCCCGTCCTCATTAATATCATGTTATCAACTTGATAGCACAGAACAGGGAGTTGAAAAGAGGTTCCCATTAGCACACTCTTATACAATATTTGCATCCTTTAGGTAAATAAGCATACATAATCTCAAAAACGTACTTGACTATAAAATGTAGAGGTGAATTCTGAGGAGATATTAATTTTCTATTTAGTGTAATCTCTTTAGTTTAACTTTACATAATTCAACTTCTAATAATGACTCTGTTTAAAATCAGTTCTCATGAACCACTCTGAGGAGGATCCATGTCGGGGTAGAATGTACATCACCTGTCACCATCACCAGAGGTGCACATCCTTAAACAGGCATTATGTGCATCTGTGCACCTCCCTCACATGACTCAGTGAGGAAGAGGTTTTGTGGAAGAGCATCTGGATTCCCCTCCTTCCTTCCTGTCTGCAGCTGTATTATATCATGAAGTGGGTCAGTTGCCATTTGCTTTCAAGCTACTGGCAACATGGTGGCCTGGGGTGGGTGGTATGGAGCTGTGGAAATGTGCTTTGTGTCATTTTTCCTCCTCTGAGCCAATGAAACCAAACGGTGGGATGGTAAACTGGAGTTTGGCCTGGACTTTGTCTGTTTTTCAGTTCAACAACAGGACATGCCCACCGTGGATATTAAATCTTTGTCCTTTACAATGTAGTTCTGCTTGGAAGGAGGGAAGAGATGGCTACTGTCCACTGAAGAATGGCTAACTATCTGGCTAGGATTATAGAGAAAATCCATGACATAGGCTCACATAGGACCAGAAGCCTGGGTTCAATCCCTCTCTGATCTTATTGGTTCTGTGATGGTGTAACTCACATTCCCCTACCATAAGATGAATGTAATAGCATATGTCTCCTAGGGTTAACTGAGGAGGCAACAGGAAATTATAAAAAGAAATATGTTTGTGTATGTATGCTTCAAATCTTCGAACGGGTTGATAAGTGTTGTCTGTTGACTTGGAAGCAATGTACCCAACTGAAAATCATTATTTTCCCTAAATACAGTGGGAGAAAACATACTTAGATGTATCTAGTAGTCTGTACTATACTTTATACTTTGTATCTAATAAAATTTTAAATGCAGTAATATCTTTAGAAGCAAGGTTATTGGATGGTGATCTCATTCATAGGACTCCCATAAGAGACACAAAAACATGATTGTTATTCTGACAAACACCACAATTTTTTACTATCAGAATAATTAGAATATATGAAAGTACTCTGTGGTCCAGTTGCAAAAATACGTAACTAGAAATAATGACATCCTAATGATACATTATTATTACATAAGGAATTGGGATAAGAACCTACTCAATTTTTAGGAATCTGTTAACTTGAGCCAGTGATACTTCAGTTGGTGCCTTCCTTGGGGTAGGGCATGTGCCTATGGTTGTTGAAAGCAGAAAAACCATAAGGGACTTTGAATCATTATCCCTAAGGCAAAAAGAAGGCTTTGAGTAAAGAAACCAAGTACACCGAGGAGTAAAACAATAATTTAAACCAGTATTTAGTAATATTATTAAAACACGAAGCTATGTGTCATAAAACACAGATTTAAAAACTGCCCATTTTTGAAGAATCCATAGAACAAGTTGCAGACAGGAAATCCAGCACTCCATTTTAGTGTCTGTAGTTATTACCATTGGTGTCATGTACAAGTTCATAGGACCTAATAGGGCCCTTTTGGTGCACCTGGAAAGTATCTTGCCAATAATTTTACCACTTTAGATTACTTTGTGTTTCTCTTTTTATAGTTTCCTTACTCTTTTCTATATGTTTTCACTTTTGCTCAGCTTTTTCCTTCTCATCCTACCTATGGATTCTGGGGCAAATGACCCAAAGTCAACTAACAATGATTAATAATTTTAAGTGAGGTTTTTCTTAACACTGCTTCAGAAACTGTCATTAATTTGTTTTTTTTTCCCTAAAACTAATTAAGCATTCAAAATGCCAAGACACCAAATTGGACTTACCACAAGCCTTCTAGAACACAAAAGACATTTTGCCTTACATTTCAGATATGAAATCTTGACTTTAAAAATGTCTCTACTGTTGTTTTTACTTACAGAAATGACAGAAAAAAATGATAATGATAACACTGACAAAAATAATTATAAGATAAATAACCATCTGGATTAGGTGTCTTGATAATACAACTATGATTAGTACTGGGATTTATTTCCTAATACACTATTAATAGTATATGTCCTTCCTGGCAGTACAGATATTAAGTCTAACTTTGTGTTGCATGTATTTAATGCTGTAAATTGACCAAATATACATGAAAACTACACGTCTCCTTCTATAAGCAATAATAGTCCCCAAAGGAACATATTAAAAGGTATTGGCCTTATTCCTTAGAATTTGGAAGATTTTATGAATTTGGAATATAATACAGTTCAACTTACAGCCCCCAAATTCCAAGTCCCTAGTAAATATACTAATGATATTTGTAGAACTCTGATCTATACTCAAGATAAGTCCAATGAACTTATGACTCTTTTTGTCATTAGACTACAGTAAATCTACAGAGAGTAAATACAATATTCCTTCCTTTGGGCTGCAGTTTTATCAGCTTATTATGTTAGTGCTAGTTATCTCAAGATGACTAGAAGCATTTATTGACAATATGTCTTTGAATGATAAACATGAAAAATATATTTTTAATATTACTTGATAAAAGAAGTTAGGTAGATAAAATCTTTTGAAACAATGCTAGGAAACTTTATAGAATGCCTTTGGGGGTTACAAAAATGCAAGATGTTGTTGCTACTTTATTTTCCAAGTTATAATCTAATTATCAGAATTAACGAATTCCATTATGCACTTCAATAAGAACATAATGTAATAAGCAAAAGATTTGGTAGGCAAACATTTCAATGCTTGTATGTTTTGATTGAGATAAAGATACCTGACTTTGCACTCATAATTTTTCTGGTTTGTTGCAATATGGTACAAATATTTACATTTATTTTTTTTTTCTTAAAGATAACTTTTGGAGGCATTCCTTTCTCTGGAAAGCCAAGTTCCAGTAGTAGAAAGAATTTTAAAGGCTGCATGGAAAGCATTAACTACAATGGCATCAACATTACTGATCTTGCCAGAAGGAAGAAATTAGAGCCATCAAATGTGGTAAGCATTTGCACCCCCCAAAATACTGGTCCCTAAAAAGAGAACATTTTTTAGTGAAGTACTGAATAACCAACACCAACTCATAGCATTTTTTTCTCAAGTTTGTGTTGGGTTCAACAGTATCAAAAAATATTAAAGTTAGCTGAAATTGTGTAGGCACTTGCCATACTCAGAATAGATAATGGCTTTTGGCTTATACTAATCTGAACTATAGGTAGCATTTGTTCAGTGGGAGCAGAGAACAGTAGAGATGGTGCTTTTGGATCCGTGGCAGGAGGACTTGTTCTCCTGGCAGGTCAGCAGCCCTTGATTGGAAGCACTGTGTTTTTAGATGTCTGGGTATAAAGGCCCTTGTTTCTCCCGTAGGGTTTCATTCAACATTTTAATGGCCTTAAACCAGGAACTTTAATATATTAACTTTTGTACTTTTGAAGGTTTGTTCAAATAGGTAAATAAATACCCTTCTTGTCAATGCTGTAACCATAATAAATGTCATGCAATTAAAGTTCCATTACCCTTGGATAACAAAAGCTGGACCACAGGAGTAGATTAGCAGCTTTCTTCTGGCTCATGAGTGAGTTGGTTCCAAGTTTCACTAGATTCAAGGAAGAACAAAAATCAGACACCATTTCAGCATAGTTGCCTATCTATGGCCCTGCTAAACATCCCTGAAAGATGTTAGCTTAAACATTGAGTATGGGGTTAGCCCTGGTTCTGCAATGCCGGGATCTACTTCAACACAGAAATGTCACATGGGAAGCCTAGAAGCTAGACACCCCCCACAGTTGAGAGCCATGGAAAGAGATGATATCATGAGTGTTTACACTGTGCTCTGAAAGAACTCTGAGGGCCTTGTCACCCACCATGGGAGGTTATGGTGCCCACAGTGATTGAACAAATGAATATCCCTAGTTGCTGGGATTGCAGACATGTTCCACTGCTCCTGGCCATACATGCTATTTTAAGTTTTGAATAAAACAGCACCAGGGTCTTTTTGTTTCTGTAGGAAGCATTGGTCAAACTGGAAAGGTGTAAAATCCAAATCATCAGCATGCTGTTTTCATTATTTGCACCTTTAAGAAGAATCAAATGTTATTTCTGTCCAAACCTCTTTGGTACTTGGGTGTTCCCATGCAGTACCCAAACTACAGAGAATTGTTCCACAGAGTCTCACTCCAAAATTAACTTTAACTGTGAAATATATTGCAATTATAAATTTTCTTTCAAACCAGAATAGCACAAATAATTTATAAAACAGAAACAATCTACAAATATATTCTATTTTAAGAAAAATTGCATGAATGGACATAGAATAAACATTCAGATCAAAATATATATTTATATTGAAAATTTTAGGTAGAATGGAGACACACAGCACATTTTCAAAGGCAAATATTTATATGAGAAATTGTTTGCAATGATGTCAGGTGTTGATATTTCAATGAAATTGACTCAGCACTCCTTCAACTCCCTCTCCCAACACACTGGTTTCCTCATTGTATACCAAGCCCAGAGTCAGCACTGTTAGGAAGGATCTTTACATTTCCCGAGAGGCAGTCCCCACAGCATAGGTGCGCGGGCAATTATAACATCTCATTTGTTATGCAGAGGCAGTTCTTTCACTAGAAAAGCAAGCATTTAAAAACAATCATTTCTGAAGGTACAGAGCAAATTTAATTTGAATATTAATTCAGAAAGACAACCTACCTTAGATTTAGTGGTTAATGTGCTAAAATGGAATGACCAGGCATCTGGGGTATATATGTGGTATTGAGAGGAAGACAGAGAGGGAGGGAGATAGAAAGAGACAGAGAGCTGATGAAAATGTTATCAAATTACTTTCCTTAAAATAATATGGTAGTATAACAACATCAGAACCGTATGTGTATTTTCAGACTTTTAAAGAAAAGGTACTCGGCACTGAAATATAAAATTCTGTGCATCTAAATGATAAATTAATTGTTTTTTATACCAAAGTACATTTATACGCTAGTTCTATAAAGAATGCATTGTGATATAAACACACATCATGTGAAAAGTGGACTTTTTGAATTGGCAACAAAATAATCATAACTATACAGATGTTAAACAATTAATACTAATTCATATATGTAGATAAAACCTGAGGATATTTGCCCCCAAATATCAAATTAATACATAGCAAACAAATAAGCATAGTTCCCATTGAGAACAGACTGAGTTGTCTATGAATGACCATTGATACTGACCATACAGAAGGTGGCAGGCACATTCTGATGATCTCTGTTGTACCAGCAGCATGTATTTGGAAGGCCCAGTGTCCACAATGAAGTCCATGGCCCAGGTATACACACTGCATCCTGTGGTCAGCCCATCACATCAGGCTGACAGGCTGTCAAGCTCATGATAGGCGGTGCTTGTTGCTACCTCTACCATACAGCCACTGGCCACTTGTGGCTGAAAGCTGAGTCTTGTGCTCAGGAAGACTTAGAGGGGCGCATCTAGCCATGCTCGCTGCTCAGGTTGTCTCAGGTTCAGACTATAGCGTTTGTAGAATTATGCCTTTGCCAAGTCTGACATGGATTTTAATTTTATTACGCATTTGCCCAGTCACATGCCTTTCTGTTTTATAGGGAAATTTGAGTTTCTCTTGTGTGGAGCCCTATACGGTACCTGTCTTTTTCAATGCTACAAGTTACCTGGAGGTGCCCGGACGCCTTGAGCAGGACCTGTTTTCAGTCAGTTTCCAGTTCAGGACCTGGAACCCCAATGGTCTCCTGCTCTTCAGTCACTTTGCCGATAATCTGGGCAACGTGGAAATCGACCTCACAGAGAGCAAAGTGGCCGTTCACATCAATGTCACGCAGACCAAGATGAGTCAGATTGACATTTCCTCAGGTCAGTGAGATCCATTTGGCACTTGTTCCTGAAACTGCTGCAGTGGTTCTTAACACTAATGCTGTGGGAATTATACTCATGTTTTGTTTTAAATTGGGGGGGTCCCATGTTCATGATTACACTTTAATTCAGATGTTTGAGATCGTTACTCGCTGGCCTGGATGCTGATTGAATAAGGGAAATTGAAAATGGCAAAAAGGGTGAGGTGGGGGCAGGAAGGAAGTTGGTGGAGATGGACTTGAGTATCCACTTCCTCTAATCCTCACAAATGCTAGTTCACGGTTAATACAGGGATCACTAGTCCCCTGAGGGAATATTTTATGTTTAAAAACAAAGAAGGTGTACCACTATTATAGTTTCTTTTGACTTTATGGACATTCAAGTGCCTTTTTCTAATAGTGACAAGATTATGTTGATTTAATTATAAATTTAAAGGACTATTCAGCTTCCTAAATCAAAACTCCCAAGTGATCCTGCTAAATCTATAGAAATTGGCCAGAAAAAAAATTGAACAAGAGGTGAATACAAAGTAGAATGAGAAAAATGTGGACCAACTGCAGGAAGGCTTGACTGGCTTGACTGTATAGGATGATTTTTAAACTTTGTGGTGTAGTGATACGATAAGCTGAGGCTTAGGTCGTTCATAAGGCTTATCAGTCTTGGAACATTTTCTGATATGGTATAAGGAAAGCTGATATTTCCAAATTTGAAAAAAACAAAGAAAACTTAGGTACATTGTGGAGTTCATAAATAATATTTTACCAATTTCTTTATATATTTCTTGCAATATATGTGTTTATTTTGTGAAGAACATATTAGAGATAGGAGACAGAGAGAAAGCTAGCATTTACTAGGCACCTGGTACAGATACGGCAAGTATTGAGAAAGGGATTTGGGACAGAGACTCAAGCACACCCCAGGTTCTGATTTCTCAATGAGCCCCATTTAGTCCTGAGTTGCTGGGCACACACCTGAGCAGTTTTTGACACACTATGTGACTGTAGCTGCCACAATTCCTCCTAGGCTTTAAGCACTGGAGTGGACAGGCCCAGCTTCTTTTCTCTTTAGCTCTTGACACAGTACCTGAAGAGGTGCCCAAGAGCATTTGTCAAGTTCAGTACTCCAGCCCTTTGAACTGGGGCTCAGTCAGAGAATATCTCCTGCCCAAGGACCAATGTTTTCTTGTAAAATGAGCTGTGTGCTTCTTCTGGCTTGGCTATGTGGACTCTAACAGGGAAGGATTCAAAGAGGATGCCCAAACTGCCCCTTCAGAGATGCCTCAGGAGTACTGACATCTAAGGCTGTTGTAAAGTACCTAGGTATTCACTTTCTCTATATTTGCTCTGTTAGTTTTCCCTTTTCCCTGAGTATGCAATCAAAATGACTGATCAACCATATCTGATCATTTCTTCCCTGTATAAGCTCGTCTGGGGAGATTTAAAGCAAATAGAAAATATCTGGAGAGACTAAAATAAGACAAAACAAATACACATAAATGTTTACTACAGTTGAAAAAAACCCCACTGTTAGGATTAAAGATTCTTTTCTAACAACTAAACACATAAAAATATTAGTGTGATATCCTACCTCCTGGCATTCTTTGAGCAAACACAACTTGCTGCTGGGTTTCCAGGTGGTAGGAACCATTGGATTTGAAATAATGCAACCTTAAATATAGTGATTAACAAACATTTATTAACTCGATTTGGTCTAATTTAAGACTCCAAGATGGTCCTACATAATTGAAGCTGTGTTTGAAAAGCAGAAAGGTTTATTTAAAGATGATAAAATAGGTTTTAGAATGTTGGTCAATTTAACTAAGAATTTGGGGAAATTAAAGGAAACTGATCTAAAATCTGAATATTTCTGGAGTTTTAGTTCAATGATTATACCATAGTGTTTCTCCTATTTCCTTTTTATGTGTATATACATAGTGGAGAGAAGGACTTATTAGATATATTAGTGTGAATAAATAGAACAAATCTACCCAAAAATTTGTGTCTTACACTCATTCTTTCTAAAAGTACATATGGAGTTCGTTCGCAGAAGAAAATTTCATCTAAATTTTACCAGATTAAATTAAATGTATAAATCACTTAGTATAAGAAATCACATCAAGAAAACCATCTAAGAAACAGCCATTTGCATTAATTAACAAAGGAAGGATATATACATTTCACTTCTACCCCACTCTTACCAGCATGAACACTGAAGAATGTCAAACCATTTTATTTCCTTTTGGAAATACCTTCGTTGCAAAATTTCTGAAAATGAAGAAGATTTAGCAGAGAGATATACCACTATTTGCATTTTGTTGTACACACTGATTACCGTAGTGTATCGAGAGGTCAGATAGAGACACTCAGGAATGGTTTGTGTCCACTTGTGACTTGATTTGGATTTTAGTTAATATGTTCTGTGTTCCAGGATGAAGGTCACTCATTGAACTCAAAACCCTCTATTTTTTATTCTGCTGGATAATGTTGTCCTTGGGGATTAATATAAAATAAATCTCATAAGTAAAGGAATATTCCATAGATTTCTCACACTTTCCTTGTATCTTCCCCTCCAGGTTGTATTTTCTTGTCAAAATAAATTGAGTATTTTCTTTTCTCTGATTTTTCTACTAAAAACATTGACATTGCCCACTGCAATGATTGCATGCTCTAAAACTGGTTTGGCAAACATTGGCTCACAAATTTCCCTTCTCATTGGAACAGTTGGAATTTTTACCAGTTCTATTTCCCTGTGGTTATTTAGTGCATAATCCATTTGGAAAACTAAATTAAGCTTCCATGAACAATATTGTAATTTAATTAGAGTTGCAAAAAAGTATTAATATCTGATACGTAACCCCCCCCCAAAAAAAAATAAAAACACATACCCACTACTTGAAATAAGGTTGTTATTGCAAAATGTCTCAATTACAAACAAATATCTAGAAGAATACACAGTCTTGGTGTTTCTATATTAATAAGGTCATAAAATGTGATATAACATGTAAAGAGTGGAAAGAAGATGATTGTAACTATTGACCCCTTTCATTTATGTCTAAACAAAGACTTTCAGAAGAGCCAGTCTGAATGTGCCCTGCTCCTAAATTCACTGTGTGGCTAAGTTTGAGTGTTTGAACCCCCTTGTTCTGGTTATGTAGAAGTTGGTGCCATTTTACTGCTGATGCTTTAGAAACCTGTACACAGCAAAGATCATCTTTGTTTGAATTTCTATCTCCACTGAAAACCTTCTGCATCTCATTTTATTTAGGTTGTGCCTTAGTGAAATTTTCTTTATAAACTGTGAGTGTGATTTGGGTGATATAGGAAAAGAGGCCATGCTGTCTGGGTCTGGTAAGGCTAGGTACATGGTGGCAAGTGCTGGAAGCTTCCAGTTTGATCTGGGCACCACCCATGACACTATCTTAAGCAAGAGGGTACCTCTTCTCTGTAGACAGCACATTAGTAGTTCCTTAAAAGATGAGTTCATGCTAGTTTCCAAAGTTCAGTAATAACTTGCATTGTGAGGAATTGTGTTCATCATATAAATTTTTCAATAATACAAGTTTGTATGTTTTAATTGTTTACCAGGAAATTATTTCCAGCTCTATGATTTCAAACTGCTGATATTAAGATTTCTTAAATAAATTTTTATAACCCAAAAGTTAAATAACGTATATAGAGGCATCACTTCACATATTTCAAGTGATTTATTTTAGAATGCCTTATAAAGCGGATTCATTGGAAGATTGTTTTTAAGTAACGCATAGAATCTTCTTTAAGTTTAAACCATAAATTATGAGAAGCTTTGAAAATGTTAATCCCCTTTGACCTATTGAATTTAAATCATTTTGAATAAGGTAACGGAGATAGTTATCTCAGCATGTATACAGTAAGAAAAATAACTTGAAATGGACTAGTGATGTTACAGAGTATATATTTCGGTGAAATTCTACCATGTCACTATAAATAATGTTCCTCAAGTCAAATTTAATACCTTGAGAAAACATAATACTAAGAATAAAAATGTTTACAAAAATATAAGTAGAATATGGCCCAAACTTTATTTATTTATTTGTTTGCTTGTGTAGGTGCTAGGGATGGAACTCCAGGCTATTCCATCACTGAGCCACTTCCCCAGCCCGATTTTGCATTTTCTTTAGAGACAGGATCTCACAGAGTTGCTTAGCACCTCACTTTTGGTGAGGCTGGCTTTAAACTGGGGGTCCTCCTGCCTCAGCCTCCGGAGCTTCTGGGATTAAAGGCATGCACCACCATACCTGGCCCAAACATTATTTTTATAAATACATAGAGAGCTTGATGATTACCCATAATTGGTGAGTTATCAGTTATTTTATTAACTTGTTTACATAACTTCCTAGTATTTATATTTTATAGTTATCAATTAGTATTTTAAAATAAGCATATTATGAAATAATAGGGGAAATTCTATTTCTGAAAAGTATAATGCTTAACAATATTACAAGTGGAAAATTCCCTAGAGTAAGGTATATCAATTTAACAATTATAGTTTCCCTGCTTACTTAGAAACATATTTTTAAGAAGTCAATTTTAAAGAAGTTTGTCCCTAAATAATAAGCTCCAACTTAATTCCTTAATGGTGTTTATGCAACAAATAGAGCATTTGTATTCAGATGCAAAAAACAGAAGATTGGGTATATGATAATTTTTTCTAAAATATAAATAACAGATTTTGAACAAATGCCCCATCTTTCATGTAATCTTAAAATTATTTTATGCATAGATAGAAAGATACATACACATATGCACAAGACTTTTTCCTTAAAACCATAGCCAACAATCAAGGAGCAGTGTAGTGTACTTATGTCTTAATGATGAGTCAGTACATCAAATCTCTTTATTTCCAAGTAATCTACATGATTTGCATCTATGCATGGGTGACCTAAAATCCATCTTTAGATTGTCTTTCTTTTTGATGAGCTTATACTTCTCTTAGAACTTCCAGCAAAACTCAGATCCATCATT